GTAAGACTGGTCTTGAACTTGAAATTCCTTTTTGCCTTAGCCTCCTCCGTAGCTGGGGTTACAGGCCCAGTTTTTTAAATATTTAAGCACCGGAATATTTTGTTAAAGAGGAAGATCTAAGACCAATTCCCCAAGGATATTAAGAATAATTAGACTTTATAGAACCCACCAAGACTTTTTAAAGGGGAAAGAAAGATTTTCAAATGAAACTTAAAAGACAATAAGGAAACTATTTTATATATTCAATGCCAGAAAACCAGGATTTCTTTTATACAGAATCTGTGATTCAGAGATATATCTAAAAGTTGTAAAACAAAAGTCATCACTGAAAACTGGCTAGATAAAAAAAGTCACTGAGCTAAAGGAAGATTTCAACTTAGCAAACATTATCAGTGGGAACCTTTTCATACTGTTAGCTTAAGACAATCAATGGGCTCTTCCAAAACCTCTACAAGAACAAGATAGGCTCATCAGGCGTTGGTGACGCACGCCTTTAATCCCAGCACTCAGGAGGCAGAGGCAGGTGGATCTCTTTGAGTTTGAGGCCGGCCTGGTCTACAGAGTGAGTTCCAGGACAGCCTTCAAAACAATATAGGCTCAATCCTGGAGGTCCTTGTTTCTATATATTACAACTTCAGAAAGAAAATCTAATGGATTTAAATGTTCCAAGTTTCAGTGGTCTATCCCAGTCATGGAATCTGTTTTTAAAAAGTGAGCAGTAGCTGGACATGGCGGTGCATGCCTTCCTTCTATCCCAGTACTCAGGAGGCAGAGGCAGGAGGATCTCTTGAGTTTGAGGCAAGTATGGTCTAGAGTGAATTCCAGGACATCGGTGACTACAAAAACCCTGACTTGAAAAAAATAAAAATAAAAACCAACCCACCATCTTACAAAACAAGTAAAAAACACACACCCACATTTTATAGGTGGCAATGCTAAATTTTTTATTATAAGAAGTTTAAATTGGAGCTGGGCGTTGGTGGCGCACGCCTTTAATCCCAGCACTCGGGAGGCAGAGGCAGGTGGATCTCTGTAAATTCGAGGCCATCCTGGTCTACAAAGTGAGTTCCAGAAAAGCCTCCAAAACAATACAGAGAAACCCTGTCTCGAAAAAAACCAAAAAAAAAAAAAAAAAACCAAAAAAAAAAAAAAAGAAGTTTAAATTGGAAATACGCATTCAACATTGAATAATAAATAGCAAGAATTTTGCTGGGCGTTGGTGGCGCACACCTTTAATCCCAGCACTCGGGAGGCAGAGGCAGGAGGATCTCTGTGAGTTCGAGACCAACCTGGACTACCAAGCAAGTTCCACGACAGCCTCCAAAGCCACAGAGAAACCCTGTCTCAAAAAAAAAAAAAAAAAAAAAAAAAAAAAAAAGCAAGAATTTTGTGTTCAAGGACACACACACACACACACACACACAAAGCTACAGTTATATCATGAAATTTCCTATTAGTAGTTTGATTTTGCCCTCTAATATGCTCAATGTTCCGATCTTCTATCCCTTTCTTGGTATTTGACCCAGTGAAGTAACTAACTTGGATATTTTTTTCCTCCATAGTTCTCATCTTACACCTCTCCTCCATAACTGTTGCCCATTATTCTGCATTGTTACTAACCTTTTTGCTATTTTACAACTTTTGTTGTTGTTGCTGGGAGAAGGCAGGGAGGATGGATTCTAACAGTTTCACATTGTAGCCAAGCTGGCCTCCAATTTGTAGCAATACTGCCCTAGTCTTTAGAGCACTGAACTTATGGATGCATATCACCACACCCAGCTAATATCATTTACTTTTAGCCATTAGGAATGGCATCAATTTTCCAGCACAGAGATTCACACTCTCACAACTCACTACCTTTGGCAGTGCCCAGTAAACAGAAGTAGTTCAAATCCTTTCTATGTAGAACCAAGCATACTATAAAGCCCATCTCAGATGAGAAGGAAAAAAAAAACAAAACAAAAAAACAGAAAATTCAGCAGAGTGGCAGTTGGTTCTCAGTCATCTTTTCAGTTTTTCCCTGTCCAGTAGAGCAGTTTGAGTCCCAGGACTCCCAATGCCACATCAATAAAGTATCTCTGCAAAAGGTTTTTTGCAGTATATGCTGCCAGAGATCAGAAGTAAATACAGGGTTCCATGTAGTTAAGGCGTTAATTTTCCTTCGGGAGCAAAGTGCTCTCTCTTGAGGGAGTTGTATGTAGGGCTAGCTTGGGGCAAAGCTAGACATTCAGAAACCCAATTTATACTGAATGCCTTCCTTCTAAGCCAATCTCCTCTTTTTTTTTTTTTTTTTTTTTTTTGAGACAGGGTTTCTCTGTGTAGCTCGGAAGTCTGTCCTGGAACTTGCTATGTAGACCAGGCTGGCCTTGAACTCACAGAGACCTGCCTGACTTTGCCTCCAAGTGCTGGCATTAAAGGCATACACCACCACTGCCTGGCTATTTAAGACAACTTTTAACAACTCTACCCAGACTTTTTAATCATTTAGCAGCTTCCAGATTACACTAAAACCAGCTTTGCAAAAAATTAACTTACAGGGATGGGGTGCAACTTTCAGAACTAAGACTTTCAAAATCTATACTTGTTTCAATTTTCCCTGTACCAAACATTGCCCTTTTGGTATATATGTCAAAGGGTTCACACACTAATTTTGGCTTTAGACCAGTAAATCCTTTTTCTTTTTTTCCCCAAAGCCAATTAAGGAACAAATTACCGAGGTTAATAATGTCTACATTGACAAAGTAGTAACCACTGAACAAGAACTAGGTCTTGTCTATGATTCCCCCAAGCCATATTGCTTAGCCAATTATTAATTAATTTTTATTTTAGATAAAAAATGGCTCATGGTCAAGGATTCTGACATCTGTTCTCTAAAGTGAGCTACATGCAGTAGCAGTCAACAACACAGATTCAGAATTGGGGGTGGGGTAGGGGGACACACTATCTTTTAGTATTACAGAACTAAGAGACTCTATTAATTAATGACAAAGACATAAATTTCAAAATAGTGACAGTCTGATTCAAACAAACACTGGAGAGGGCTCAGCAGTGAAGAACACTTTCTGTTTGTCCAGAGAAGCCGAGTTTGGTTATTAGTACCCATACCAGGCAGCTCACAACCACCTGTAACAACAGTTCCAGGGGGACCCCACACTGCTGGGCTCCTTGAGCACCTGCACTAACACGCACATAACCACACACATACACAAAATTGAAAATAAAATAATGGGGCACATGGGCCTCTTTGTTGCCTCCTATAGAAGTCAGGGTTCAACCCAAGCATTCTACTTCTCTAGTTCATTCTTCCCAGGTCTTTATGTGTACCTATTGAAATACAGCAATGACAAGAACCAGCTTGCTCAAGAATAACTTGCTGAAGAACCCAGGTAAGATAAAGTTTTAAATAGAAAGCTTCCGTTGAGCTTTGACTTCAAGATCACAGAACTCAACCGCATAGATTACTATTTCAATGGACACTGTATAAATTTCCTGGTACTGTAATAAAAATGCAAAGACACAGACAAATTCAACCTGGGGTGACTGAGCCTTTGACTTGCCTTTAGTTTATTCAATCGTCTTTACTTCCCTTTCATTCTCCTGAAATCGTAATGTTTATATACATAATATTTACACCAAAATACCCATAGACTTCTCAAGACCACAGTCAAGCTATTTAAAAAGACTAAAGACACCTGGAGTGGAGCTGGAACCCCATCTTTAAAGCATACTGTGTCTTTCAAAGTTATCTTTTGTATTGTCGGCACCATGGGGGGTGGGGGGGATAGCAGGAGGAAGAGCTAACATTCTGGAGCCACAGGCTGAGAGAACAGCAAAGTAACAAGTATCAAAATTATCTTCACAATACTGCAACAAATGTAATTTTGACTTTTAATTATGGCTAGTCATTCAACTTTGGAATGACTTGGGGAAACAAATTCCACAGGCTGATTCACCATTCTATTACACTTGTCTTTTTATTTGCTCTTAAAGCAAACCCTTTAAAATTGCAGCCTGGAGGTTCAAATTAAAGAGGAATGGTCAGTTGTCTTCAACGCCTCCGCTAGGGGGAAATGCTTCGATACTAAGGGGAATCATTTAGAGCTGAGAGAGAAAGCACTGCTAGTAGACTGATGAAGGAAACCCAAAAGCTGCTGCTGATTCCTCTCACCTGATTGAACTCTTCATCAGCGTATATATCAATCAAGTCCACTCCTTCTGACATGGCTCCGGAAATACGCTCTCGAGCCCGGAGAACGGACAAAGTAAGAAAGATGACACTAGGGTGTTCAGAAAAGGGTAAAAAATTTTAAGGCACGAGGGTTCCAGGTTGGGAGGAGGGCAATGATCTTCAATCTCTAGTCTCCCGAGGGGCAACATCCCGGCAGCCAGAGCCCGGCCCCACCCGCTCCGCCCCGCCCCCAGCCTCGCGCCGCCCCCAGCTCTCCCAGGCCGCCCGGGCTCGCGGGGCTCGCTGCCCATCACCCCGCGGGCCCGACCCGAGTTGCGCCGAGTCGGCGCCGGTAGCTGCCTGTGGCGCCACCGCCAAGCTCAGGCCTCGACTCTCGAGAGGGCCCTAGGGCCGCGATGTGAAGAACCATCGCGGCGTAGGCCGCAAGCTCAGCCCGCCGCACCTGCTAGGCCCAGGGGGCGGCCAAGCCGGAGTCCCCCGCGGGCCCGGAAGCTACCGCCGTCTCCACTCCAACCGGGCCCGGTCCTCGCCCTCGGCTAGGCCTATCCTGTTCCTTCCCACAGCTCCAGGACCACAGCCCCTCCCTCAGAGGCCCGCGCTTCCCGCCACCCGCCGCCTTCCGTCGCCACCTCAACCGACCCCCTCCCCGCCGCGGCGCCAGTCCCGGCCCTCCTTCCGGCCCCGCCGGCCCCCGGCCGCGCGCCCCCGTTACCGGGAATATGGCGGCGGCCGCGGAGAGTCCCGACTAGGCCCGAAGCGCGCGAACCGCTCTCCGCCCCAGGTCCCGCCCCCCCAGCCGGCGGCGTCACACGCACCGCTACTTCCGCCATACGCTGGGACGCGCCTTCCGGCTTGAGGTCCAGCTCCACTGGAGAGGTCCACCTCCTCCGCTCGTGAAGTCCCCAGATAGACCTCCGGGAGTTCCCGGAAGTGGCCCGGTTGCCAGCTTCCGGTGCCGTAGGGGGAAATGGCGATGGTCACCTTGATCCCGACGCTGGCGCGGGTGAGAGAGCCGAAGATTTAGGGTTCCGGGCGGGGAGCAGCTAGGAGGACACTTTCGTCCTCTGTGTCGTGGAGACCGTTCAATTACCCCACAGCTCAGGGAAAGATCCCCTCAAGGCAAGACGCATGCAGGCGCTGGACGTGCAGGTCATTTCTCATTCTTTGCTGAGCCCTTGGTGTGCTCGAGTGAGAACACTTGGTAATATGTAGTTAAGTGGTCAGTCATCGTGCGAGACAACTCAGATCTTAAGTTCCCAGGCACAGTTACCGAACCTCCTCCAAAAGCCCACTTCGAGCTTGTATTCTTAAAGCCTTCAGTGCCTTCTCCCCACTTTTAGCTGGTCTTTTATGTGTTGCCCATGCTGGCCTCAAATTTACAATTCTACCTCATCCTCCCAAGTACTGGGATTATAGGCTTGAACCATCACACTTAGTGGGTCGCTATAAACTTTAATCTTGGTACTATTTTGGTTCCTCTTCACTTTTTTTTTTCGTACGGTAGGCTTTAATCTGCCTCGAGATTAAAAAAAATCGTTCTTCAAATGTGTGGATTTAAATACCTACATATTTGTGGATTTTCCAGTTTTGACATGTTGTTGGTTTTCGGTTTTATTTCTGTGTTGTTGAGAGGTTATTGTTACGATTTATCATAAATTTGTCAAGACTTGTGACATAACTTGTGAGCTCTTGAGAATGTTCATCCATGAATTTGAGAGGAATGTATGGTCTGTTGTGTGGAATGTCTGTATATGTAACTCAGTTAGGTAAACTTAGCTTATAGTGTTCTAGTTGTCTAGTATTGAAACCCCCAACCCAGTCCACCCCGTCTGGATGTCCTATCCCGTATTGAAAGTGTGGCATTGAAATCTGTTTGCTGCTTTTACTTTCCCCTCCCTTCAGTTCTCAGTGTCTGTTTCATATATTTGGGTTCTCTAATATTAGATCTACATTTAGTTATGACTGTTATACCTTCCTGAGAGCTCTTCTTAATATTATATAAATGTTCTTTATTTCATTCGACAATTTTGTTTTTTGTTCTAAGCCCCAATCCAGGGCCTTGACATGCTAAGAAATCTCATTTTCTATTCTTTCTTTTTTTCTTAAGATTAAAAAAGTATGTACATATGTGTGTGCTTTCTTGAGCTTATGTTTACTATGTGTGTAGGTGCCCATGAAGGCCAGAAGAGGGTTTTGGATTTTCTGGAATTGGAGTTACAAGTGGGTTTGAGCCTCCTGCTGTGTGTGTTGGGAACTGAACCCCAGTCCTATGTAAGAACAGTAAATGCTCTTAACTGCTGAGCTGTCTCTAGCTCCAGCAATCTCATTTTCTTCTGAGTCTCTTTACAGGAATTGTCCTTGTGGTATTTTAAATTGATAATTTTAATTGCATAGAAAAACTTCTCTTTTACTCCTTGTGTTCAGGGTATAGATGCCGTAGAGTATACCTTTTTTTTTGAAGATTTCTTTAAAGAGTGAGCGTGTGTGTACTCACACACACTTTTGAGTATAGCTATCTACTGAAGCTGAAGAGGGTGTTGGATCCCCTGGAGCTTAAGTTATATGTGGGGAGGGAACATCTCTGTAGGATGGGATATATTACCTTCCTTTAGAGCATCCTGTATCTTGGCTGGGTGTGGTAGCATAAGGCAGAGGCTGGAAGGTCTCTTGAGTTCAAGACTAACCTGACCCAGCTGTCAAGTTCCAGGACAGCTAGGGCTACATCATGAATAATAATAATAATAATATATAATGAATAATAATAACAATAGCATTCTATGTCTTAATGAGGTTCCCTCCAAAATTGAAGGTTTTATCCTGTAGGAAATTGCTGCACAACACCTGTCATTCATGAAAGCCCTGGGTTTGATCCCTAGTGTCACAACAGAGTATAGTGGCATGTGCCTGTGATTTTAGCACTCTAAAGTTGGTGGCAGGAGAATGAGAAGTCCAAGGTCATCTTCCTTGGTTCTTCAGCAAGCTCAAGGCCAGCCTGGTGCCTCTATGACGAGATGGAAGGTAGAGATAAGAAAATCACTGGAGGCTCACAGGCGCGCTAGACTGTGCACACAATAGAAAACAACAAAGACTTGTCTCAGAACAAGGTGAACTGACACCCATGTTTACAAACAAAGATTTTGAATTCATTTTCTTTTTTTAAAAACATGTGAGCTGGGCGTTGGTGGCACAGCCTTTAATCCCAGCACTCGGGAGGCAGAGGCAGGTGGATCTCTGTGAGTTTGATACCAGCCTGGTCTACAGAGCGAGTTCCAGGGCAGCCTCCAAAGCCACAGAGAAACCCTGTCTCGAAAAACCAAAACCAAAACAAAACAAAAAAAACATAAAAACATGTGAGTGCTCTATATGGATGTACAACTTTATGCCAGAAGAGGGCATCAGATCCCACTATAGACGGTTGTGAGTGGTTGTTGGGAATTGAATTCACCACCTCTGGAAGAGCATCCAGCATTCTTGACCGCTGAGCTATGTCTCCAGCCCCTAACTGTATTTTCAAGTACCTTTTCCCAGAGATGCTGATCCAGAATGCTTAGGCTGTGGCTTAGGAAACTGAGCTTTCACAGCCTGCTGTGTTCATTTACTGGAGCTGCAGAGATTTCTGTTTTCAACGTTCTGGAGCCTGGGAGTCTCGGATGATGGTATCACAGTTACTCTCTCTCATGGTCTCCATGGCTTGCAGATTGTTACTTTTCCTTTGTGCCCTCACATTGTCCTTCTTTTTACATGCACATTTCTACTTGCTGGGCAATTTATGCCTGGGTGTGGACTTCCTTAGGTTCATGACACTTGAGGTCTCTTGAGCGTCTCAAAACTGAATGGCCATTTCTTTTTCCAAGTTTTGGAAGTTTCAGTCATTTCTTTTTTTCTTTAAAGATGGTGTCTGTCTGTCTGTCTGTCTGTCTGTCTGTGTCTATGTTTTCTCTGCATGTGTTGTGGGGATAGAATTCAAGTCCTCAAGTATATGTACCTTCCTCTATCAGCACATAATCAGTAGCTTTCCCTAGTGTCTGTGATGCTATAGTTTCTTTGTAATCACTGAAAGTTGTTCAAAGTCCCCTTCCTCCTCCTTTGCCTACCTCCGTTTTGTTTGGTACTGTAGCCCTTCAGCTTCATAGGAGCCTGCTCTAGCCTCTCAAGTGCTGCGCTTACCGACACAAGGCACCGTGCCCTAGCTAGTTACTCTGCTCTCTTTTTTTTTTTTTTTTTTTTTTCCCCGAGACAGGGTTTCTCTGTGGCTTTGGAGGCTGTCCTGGAACTCTCTCTGTAGACCAGACTGGCCTCGAACTCACAGAGATCCGCCTGCCTCTGCCTCCCAAGCGCTGGGATTAAAGGCGTGCGCCACTAACGCCCGGCTGTTACTCTGCTCTCTTATTCCCAGTGGTTGCAGGACTTCTAGAGTATGCTGACTGTATTAGTGTTACAAGTTGTTCAAAACAGAAACCAACCAACCCCTTAGGCAATGCCAACCCCATGCTCCAGAACATTAACCATACACTATTCTCTGAGCCCTGGGAAAGAGGCTCCTGAGTGATATTAGATTTCTGTCTGCTTTGTAAGGTTTCCTCTGCACCAAAAATAAGCCTCTCAGCTCTCTTGGTCCTCGTGATCCTTAAGTATCTGGAATGGGTTGAGTCCTGATGTTGCTCTGAAGCAAGAGAGACAAAAGCCAGCCCCCATAGGCAGCCCCTGAGATGCTGGAGCCTTACATGGCCACCCTAACTCTGTTTCCCCAGGAAAAGCTGTGAGTTATGATTTTTTACTTTTCACTCTGCAGTAAGGCAGGAATGGGGACCATGGCAAGTGAATGCTACTGATGCTAACTATCACCTTTGCTGCAGCTTTCAACCAGGTGACCTTTCCTATAGCACTTGTTTGGATGACCTAGGAGTCTTACCTTTCCCTCACAGGTAGAAGCCTGGTGCTGGAATACTCTCCCCATCATCTTGTGCTTGGGTGATGGTTGTGGGGCGAGGGTGGGGTGGGGTTGGGGAAAGCAGTATTGTGGCATGTGCAGTCCACAGCCTTCCTCTAGGCAGCTGATTTTGTACTCATCATGGAGCAGGATCTTGTTTTCCCGACTTCTCACAGGGGGAATAGATCTGTGAATTGTTGAGTCAGTATCTCCTTTGGAAGGGTTTGGTGGCGAGGAGGATGTGGGTGTTCCTATTAAAAATTGTGTATGTGTGTGATATATGTTTGTATGTATGTGAGAGAGGGAGGGGGGGAGGAAAGTGCCTGCCTATCCTTGTATGGAGACCAGAAGTCAACTTCAGGTGTCTTCTTCTATTTTCACTTTATTTCCTGAGACAGGATCTCTCTATTTTGGCTAGACCACCTTACCAATGAGCCTCTAGGATCTACTTGTGCTAGGGCTACAGATGTAGGATGCCATTCCTGGCTGTGATTGGCTCTTATGTCGTTCTGCACTCAGGTCCTCATGGTTGCATAGCAAGCACTTATTGAGACATCAGCCAGCCCTTCCTTATATCTTAGAGTTTATGCCCTTCTTAGGTTTGGAGTTTTTAGGAGATCTAGGTATCCTCTGGGTTTAGCAGGTGAGTAACTGGAACACAACTATATTGTACAGTTTTAAAGGAATGCAAAAGGAGACATGTTTCTACTGGGATACTTTCTGGAAAGATTGGTTAACAGTACATCTGGAATACTCATTCTGTGTTGTAGAATGAGGTGTTACCTAATTTGTGAACATGTCTGTGTATCTATTTCAATGACTATCCCCTCTAAACCTTGGGTTCATTGGTTTCCATTTCCTTTCCTATAAAGGGACCAGAATCAGCAGAAGGACTGAGTGAGATCTAATGCATCTTATGTGTTGAATAAATAGCAGTGATAGTAATCATTGTCTTATAAAGATGTTTGTGGTTTGTTTGTTCCAGGTACTGTCAAAGCACAGCCTGCTATCTCCTTTGCTCAGTGTGACATCAATCAGACGATTCTACAGAGGTGACAGCCCAACAGATTCTCAAAAAGACATGATTGAAATCCCTTTGCCTCCATGGCAGGAGAGAACTGATGAATCCATAGAAACCAAAAGAGCCCGCCTACTCTATGAGAGCAGAAAGAGGGGGATGCTGGAGAACTGCATTCTTCTGAGGTAGTGGGGAAGAGGACTCTGGGTGTTACTCTCTTTGACAAAACAGTCTTGTCTTGTCAACCTCATTTTCCTTTTAATTTTTAGCCTCTTTGCTAAAGAATATCTGCACAACATGACAGAGAAGCAGCTGAACCTTTACGATCGCCTGATTAATGAGCCTAGCAATGACTGGGATATTTACTACTGGGCCACAGGTATTCCATATGATAAGCTGCATTTTGTGATGATAGGATAACAAGCCTATTTGTGTCTGAAATTGTATCTTAGCAATCCCTTTTTTTTTTTTGGAGACAGAATCTTTCTGTGTAGTCCTGACTGTCCTAGAATTCTCTATTTAGGCCAGGCTAGTTTTGAACTCACAGAGATCTGCCTGCCTCTGCCCCCTGAGTGCTGGGAGTAAAGGTGTGTGCCACTAAGTCAGGCCCTGTTTTCATTATTTTTATTTATATATGTATCCTCCATACAAGGTTAGGGTTAGGGTTAGGGTTAGGGTTAGGGTTAGGGTTATTTTTATTTATATATGTATCCTCCATACAAGGATAGGCAGGCACTTTCCTCCCCCCCTCCCTCTCTCACATACATACAAACATGTATCACACACATACACAATTTTTAATGGAACACCCACATACTCCTCGCCACCAAACCCTTCCAAAGGAGATACTGACTCACCAAACCTAAACACTATTCACATTTTTCCAGAATGTGCAAAATTTGCTTAATGGGTTTCTTTAAAACATTTTTTTGACATTTGTTTATTTTGTGTGCATGTGTGAGTGAGCATACATGTGCACATGTGCTTGAGGTCAGAAAACAACTTAGTTTTCTCCTGCCTGCTTCTGCCCCATGAGTGTTGGATTAATGGCCAGGTACTTGCTTTGTTTTGAGACAGACAATGACTCACTGTGTGGCCCAGGTTGGCTTTAAATTCATGATCCTTCCATCCCAGCCTTCTCAGGGCTGAGTTTACAGAGTGTTGGGAATACAGACATGTGCCACCATCCCTTGTCAGAATGATCACTTTTCATTCTGAAAATCAGCTTAATGTAAAGATGGAGGACTCTTGTCCAAGCCCACTTAAGTCTTGGGGGGCCAGGGAGGGCTCGGGAAAGGGAAGGTTTAAGGAAGTAGGAACAGAGGCTGCAAATAAATCAAGCATTTTTTAATTGCAGGCCACAGGCATAATGAAGATTGACTTTCTCAGGGTAATGCACTCTGAACTTTCTGAGTTTTCTGTGACTTAAACAGTTTCATGTTAGTGTAATGGCCATCTTATGCTATATATTAACAGACTGCCTGCTCATAACTTCTTGTAACTCCAGCTCCAGGGGATCAAAAGCCTCTAGCCTTTTATGGGCATGTACACTCATGTTCATATTCACACAATTACAATTAAAGATAAAGTAGATTCTTTTTAAAAACAGGAGTCTAGAGGCTTATTTAGTTATTTGAAAATCCAGCAAATCTTAAATATTTACTATCTGGCTCTATGTAGAACAAGTTTGATGCTGGCTTAGCATAAGACATTTGAGATTGACCTTTGTTACTTGGGTCAATAGTTCCTTCTTTGGTTTGTTGAGTAATATTCCAGTGTGAGGATTATACCATAATTTACTTATTGACCAGAGAGGGATTTCAGTGTTTTCAGTTGTAGACAATTATGACCATAGCTACCATAAACATTTGTGTATAGATTTTGTGAAAATAGATTTCAGGTTTTCTTGAATAAATACCCAGAAGAATCATTGGATTGTGAATATGTTTACTTTTATACCACACTTCACCCATATGGGCTAGACAGTAAATATTTTAAGTGCTACAAGCCATATGACCTCTCATAACTAACTGTGTCTGTAGCATGCGATCAACCACAGGTAGCAGGTCTACAAATGAATGTGCCTGTGTCTCAATAGAATGTCACTTGTGGATTTGAACTTCATATAATTTCCAATCATGAAGTATTATCCTTTTGAGTTTTCACCCTCTTAATTTTAAAAAAAATCATTCTTGCTGGGCATGGTGGTGCACACCTTTAACCCCAGCACTTGGGAGGCAGAGACAGTTGATCTCTGAGTTTGAGGCCAGCCAAGGCTACATAATGAGACCGTATCTCAAAACAAAAAATAAAGTATGTCATTCTTTGCATATGAGCCATTACAAAAATAGGCAACTGACCATAGTTTCCACTGCTTATGCTAAGATTTAGGAGTACCTTCTATGTGCTTACATTTTTATGATATTCTGAGAAAGGTAAAACAACAGAGACAATAGATACCAGTGATTGCCAAGGACAAATTATGAAGGGATACTTGGTGTCTTAGGGTCTCTGTAAAGAGACACCATGCCCACAACAACTCTTATAAATGAAAACATTTAATTGGGGTGGCTTACTTACAGTTTCACGGGTTCAGTCCATTATCATCATGGAAGGGAACATTGTGGCAATGTAGGCAGACTTGGTGCCGGAGAAGTAACTGAGAATCGTATGTCTTACAGGCAACAGGAAGTCAACTGAAACACTGGGTGGTATCCTGAGCATAGGAAACATCAAAGCCTGCTCCTACAGTGACACATTTCTTCCAACAAGGCCATACCCATTCCAACAAAGTCACACCTCCTAATAGTGCTCTATGAGCTTATGGGGGCCAGTTGTATTCAAATTACCACACTCCACTCCCTTATCCCTATAAGCTTGTAACAATATCATAATGCAAAATACATTTAGTTCAACTTCAAAAGTCCCCATAGTCTATCACAGGCTCAATATTGTTTAAAAGTTCAAAATCTCTTCTGAAATTCATGCAGTCTTATAATTGTAATTCCCTATAAAATCAAAATAAAAAAATAGATCACATACTTCTAACATATAATGGCACAGAAGATATATTACTATTCCAAAACATAGGAAAAGGATCATCATGAGGAAATACTGAACCCAAGCAAGACCGAAAACCAGCTGGGCAACTCCAAACTCTGTATCTCCATGTTTGATGTCAAAACACTCTTCAGATTTCCAACTCTATTCAGCTTTGTTGACTGCAACACACTTATTTTTCTTGGGCTGGTTCCACTCCCCATTAACAGCTCTCTTTGGCAGGTATTTCATGACTCTGCTGTGTCTAACATTTTGGGGTCTCCAAGGTAATTCAGGCTTCAACTTCACTGCTTCATGTAGTGACTTTTCTAGTCCTCCATCCAGGGACATCCCTGACACATGCTGGCCTCAGTGGCTTTCCTTAGGCACAGAGGCAAATTCTGTAACCTGTTTCTTCTGTCCTTAACTCTAAAGCCAGAGCCATGTAGCCGAAGCTGCCAAGTTCTACTTGCTGGGGCTGGAATGTGCCCCTCCCCTTGTTCAATTACATTTTTACCAATTTTGTTTTCCACTACCTAATCTTCGCTGTCCTAAAACTTGATCTGTAGTCCAGACTGGCCTCAAACTCAGAGATCTAACAGCCCCTGCCTTTTCAGTATGTGCCTCATCACACCCAACTCTAAACTTGCCTGTAATTCCTTTTACAAGTTGGAAATTTAGCTGGGTAGGATTTTACCCTGAGGTCACCACTCCCTTTTTTCCATTTCTTAATCCATTTACCTCCTTGAACACAGAATTTAGCTTTACACTTTCTGGTACTCCTTTTCTCCTCAAATATTTTCCCTTGCTCAGCTTGCCCCTTTTCATCATAAATCTTTACCAGAGTTAACACTAATAACCACACAACAGAGTCTACACTAGGCTATTCTGAGATTTCCTCTGCCAACAGAATTAATCCAAAACTCTTCACTTTAGCCTCAGGCAGACTCTTCAGACAAGGGCAAAAAACAACCACTTTCTTCACCAAAGTATCACAAGACCAGTCTCCAGGTAACATACTAACGTTCTTCTCCTATGAAACCTCTTGATCCCCACAGTTCATCAAATCACATTCAGCACCACGGTCTTCCATGCTCTTACTAGTATGACCTATTAAGTAGCACTTAAAACATTCATTCCACTTCTTTTTTTTTTTTTTGGTTTTTCGAGACAGGGTTCTCTGTGGCTTTGGAGGCTGTCCTGGAACTTGCTTGGTAGTCCAGGCTGGTCTCGAACTTACAGAGATCCGCCTGCCTCTGCCTCCCGAGTGCTGGGATTAAAGGCGTGCGCCACCAACGCCCGGCTCATTCCACTTCTTTCTTAACCCAAAGTACCAAAGCCCAGATTCCTCCAGATAAGAACATGATCAGGTCTACCACAGCAATACCCCATTTCTGGTACCAGCTTCTGTGTTAGGGTTTTTATTTCTGTGAAGACACACCATGACTGTGGCAGCTCTTAAAAATAAAATAATTAGGGTGGCTCACTTAAGTTTCAGAGGTTCAGTCATGGTGGGGAGCATGACTTTGTGCAGGCAGACATAGTGCTGGAGAAGTAGCAAGCAACAGGAAGTCAACTGAAATACTGAGCACAGGAAACCTCAAAGTCCACCCTCACAGTGACACACTTTCTTCAACAATGCCATACCCACTCCAACAAAGCCACACCTCCTAATAGTGCCACACACTATGAACTTTTGAGGCCCAATTACATTCAAACTACCATACTTGGTATTGTCAACATGACAGCCATGTTGGTGACACTTCATGGGTGTAGCTTTTGACATTGCTAGGAGATATAATCTAATAGCAAATTCATTGTTCCTCTGGCTCTTGTAATCTTTCTGCCCCTTCTTCCACAATGTTTTCTGAATCTTAGGTGCAGGCATTGTGTTGTAGTTGGCACTGGGCTCCACAACTTCATTTTGGTCAGTTGTTGTTTTCTGTAATGGTCTCTGTCTGTTGCAAAGAGAAACTGACTTGGTGGAAGGTGAGAACTACTGTTTCTGTGGGCATAAGGACAGGTATTTAGAATGCAGTTAGGATTATGCTAGTTTAGTGAAGTAGCAGTTAAGGTTCTCCTCCAAGATCTATGATTTCACTACCTCTGAGTAATTAACTAGGTTTCTAGTCCCGGGCATGGTTTCTTTCCTATTGAACAGATCTTAATTCCAATTAGAGAACTGTTGGTTACTGCTAAGGTATATGCACCATTATTGCATCCTTATAGTTATCATGCCATGCTGGTTGTTGTGATTCAGAGATGTCATAGATGAATAGGACTGTTGGTTGCCTCCATACTTTGGAACCCTGAATGATGTTGTCTTAGGTTTCTGTGAAG